GGCCTTCAACTCCCAGAATTCTCCATCTCACATTTGTGGCCTTCAACTCCCAGAATTCCCCATCTCACATTTGTGGCCTTCAACTCCCAGAATTCCCCATCTCACATTTGTGGCCTTCAACTCCCAGAAGTCCCCAGCACACATTTGTGGCCTTCAATTCCCAGAACGTCCGGGAGAGGTTGGGTAATTGTGGGAGTCAAAGTCCACCCATCTTAAAGTTCTCCAGGTTGAGAAGCTACTGCTGTACACAGGCAGTCCTCAACTTACAACAGTTCCTTTAGTGACCGTTCAAAGTTACAAAGGCACTGAAAAAAGTGAGTTATGACTGTTTTTCACACTTAACGACCGTTGCAGCAACCCCACAGTCACATGATCAGAATCCAGATGCTTGGCTACTGACTCACATTTAGGACGGTTGCAGCGTCCCCCGGGGTCACGTGATCCGCTTTTGCAAGCCCAAATTTCCATTGCTAAGCGAGGTCATTGTTAAATTGTTAAGAGTTTTGCCCCATTTTACAGGTTTTTTTGCCACCGTTGTTAAGTGGTTAAGTTAGCAACACCATCGTTAAGTGAATCTGGCTTCCCTATTAGCTTTGCTTGTCAGAAGGTCGCAAAAGGGGATCACGTGATCCCGGGACTCTGCAACCGTCATAAATGTGAGTCAGTTGTCAAACGTCTGAATTTGGATCACGTGACCACGGGGGTGCTGCCAACGGTCGTTAAGTGTGAAGAACTTAAGTCATAAGCCCCTTTTTTCAGTGCCGTTGTAATTTCGAACAGCCACTAAGCGAAATGTCGTAAGTCGAGGACTACCCTGTATTTCTTTATTCAACTTAAAGACTGTTCGTCTCACTCCCAGCGTGACTTTGTCTTCCATTCTGTAAAGTGGACACAGCATCAATTTGACTGGACCAAAGTGTTGGGGTTAATAATAATAATAATAAAGTTGGAAGGGACCTTGGAGGTCATCTAGTCCAACCCCCCGCTCAGGCAGGAAACCCTATACCATTTCGGACAAATGGCTGTCCAGTCTCTTCTTAAAAACTTCCAGTGTTGGAGCATTCACCGCTTCTGGAGGCAGGTTGTTCCACTGGTTAATTGTTCTCACTGTCAGGAAGTTTCTCCTTAGTTCTAGGTTGCTTCTCTCCTTGATGAGTTTCCACCCGTTGCTTCTTGTCCTGCCTTCAGGCGCTTTGGAGAAGAGCTTGACTCCCTCTTCTTTGGGGCAGCCCCTGAGATATTGGAACATGCTATCCTGTCCCCCCTCGTCCTTCTCTTCGTTAGACTAAACATCCCCAATTCCAGCAACCGTTCCTTATATGTTTTAGCCTCCAGTCCCCTGATCCTCTTTGTTGCTCTTCTCTGCACTCTTTCTAGAGTCTCAACATCTTTTTTACATCGTGGTGACCAAAACTGGATGCAGTATTCCAAGTGTGGCCTTACCAAGGCATTGTAAAGTGGTATTAACACTTCACGTGATCTTGATTCTATCCCTCTGTTAATGCAGCCCAGCACTGTGTTGGTTTGTGAGTTTTTCTATTGAAATCCTCCAGCCGCTCAAAATTAAGCGTAATTCTTTATTTGCAACTGTTCTCCTGTGCCCTCAACTCTCAACCCCCCCCCCCTCCATTGTGAGGATCAGCGTATTGCCAGAAAAAAAACATCGCACAATGCTCAGGCATTGCCAACCTGTGATCTAAATTCACAACCTCTTAGATCTGCCCTTATTATATTTACACACTGTCTTAATGAGCATCAGCTCCCAGGGTGTTTATACGCAATTAAGAGCAAACACGCATTAAAACCCGACAAAGCAAAATGTAGTAAAATCAACCAAGAAAAGGTGGCTTTTTTTTTTAATAGGACCTTTGTTCTCGCTGTTGATTTTAATTATTCTGAGATGGGCGACTCTACCAATCTAAATTAACAAATGAAACGGAGACATAAATTACTGGGAATTTCGGCTGGCTGGACCAATTTGAGGAGCTCAAAATAAACCCCTGTGAAAGGAAAAACATATCGATAACTATTTAATGAGTGGTCTAATTAATCATACTTTAGATTTGAACTTGCTAACAAGCACTTGGCTATCGCTTGCTGTGGACCTTCAGTAGGACATGGTGACGGCTTGGGGTCGACACACATTTCGTCATAAAAACGGAATATAGGAGAAGAATGTATGAGAAAAGAGGAATACCTTAGAATAAAATAGAGCTAGAAAGAATCTTAGAGGTCTTCTAGTCCAGCCCCCCGCTCAAGCAGGAGAACCTATACTATCTCAGACAAGTGACTGTCTAGCCTCTCCTTAAAAATCTCCAGTGATGGAGCGCCCACAATTTCTGGTGGCAAGCTGTTCCACTGGTTGATTGTCCTCACTGTCAGGAAGTTTCTCCTTAATTCCAGGTTGCTTCTCTCCTTGATCAGTTTCCAACCATTGTTTCTTGTCCTTCCCTCTGGTGCTTTGGAGAATAGTTGGACACCCCCTTCTTTGTGGCAGCCCCTCAAATATTGGAACACTGCTATCATGTCGCCCCTGTTTCTTCTTTTCTTTAGACTAGCCCAGCGGTAGGCAATCTTGGCTCTTTTATGACTTGTGGACTTCAACTCCCAGAATTCCTGAACCAGTATGGCTCAGCTTGGAAACCTCTCCCTTTCCCCTCAGCATGGCTGGCTCAGGAATTCTGGGAGTTGAAGTCCACGAGTCATAAAAGAGCCAAGGTTGCCTACCCCTGGACTAGCCAAGCCTAAGTCCTGCAGCCGTTCTTCGTATGTTTTGGTCTCCAGGCCTTGGATCATCTTAGTGGCTCTTCTCTGAACTTTCTCCAAACTCTCAACCTCTTTTTTGTGACATGGTGACCAAAATTGGCTGCAGTATTCCAGGTGTGACCTTACTAGGGTTTTACAAAGAGGTACTCATACTTCACATGATCTTGACTCTATGCCTCTGTTTATACAACCCAGGATTGTATTAGCTTTTTTGGGTGCTGCTGCACACGGCTGGATCGTAGTCTAGTGATTGTCCACTAGGACTCCAAGGTCCCTCTCACAGTTACCGTTTTTGCTATCGGGTACAACTTCTGCAATGACATGTGTAGAAAACGGAAGTGGGGTAGGTACTGGTTAGAACAAGGACAGGGTAGAACAGGGAAGTGGCTTGATAACCAGGACAACAGAAGAAGAATAAGGAACTAACTCAGCGGTGAGTTCCAGGAAGAGGGAGCTGGCCCGGAGGTCAGTTCCGGGAAGAGGGAAGTAGCAAACGGAAGCGTTGCAGAAAGTCATACAATGATGGTTTTAACAAGAAAAGGGAAATGGGGTGGCTATTGGGTAACACCAGAATGTCAGGGGTGGGCCCAGTGCTCAGGTATAAAGCCTGACTCAAAGATGGGGGTGTGGCCACCTGCCCACAGCCGTCACACTTTATGACGGCTGTCCGTGTGGTCCTTATTGCGATAAGTTGTTGAAACGTAAGTGCTGATTTTGTGTGTTAAATTGAAATAGACCTCTGGATCCTAAAGTGAGAATTTCGTTGGGCATGGTCTCTTGTTTCTCTTTAACCAGTTTTCCCCCTGACGGTTTTGGTGTGTTGGCCGGGATTCGAACCCAGGTCGCAAGAATGGGAATCTTGCCAGCGGCAAATATTCATTGGTGAAAGAGCTTATTTTTTTTTACTGCATGTTTTTATTTACTGCAGTACTGCACTTTGGCCTGGAGACCAAGCGTGCCTGTTGGTTGGGATCTCGGGTGACCAGAAGGAGGTCAAAAAAGTCAAAATGGCCACTTCACTAGTACAATTGAAAACCTGCCCCCTCACGGCTCCCATCTTGAAACCCACCCCCCGTAAAAAAAAATCAAGCAGAGTTTCAATTGCATTATTTCAGCCACCACCCCACATTTTTGACATAGCCAACAGACACAAGAACTAGTAATATTTCCATTTTACAGATGGGAACACTAAGGCAGTGAATTGGTGTCTGCTGGACTGATCCTTCCTTTTGCTACTCGATCCCAGAAATTGTGGGAATCGGAAGCATGAGGGGGTGTCCCCAACCATGGATCAGCTGCCCCGAAATCTAACACTGAAGCTTCACCCGATCATATGAGCCAGCCGTGTGCTGCAGCTGCCAAAAAGGCCAACACAATGCTGGGCTGCATTAACAGAGGGATAGAATCAAAATCACGTGAAGTGTTAATACCACTTTACAAGGCCTTAGTAAGGCCACACTTGGAATACTGCATCCAGTTTTGGTCACCACGATGTAAAAAAGATGCTGAGACTCTAGAAAGAGTACAGAGAAGAGCAACAAAGATGATCAGGGGACTGGAGGCTAAAACATATAAGGAACAGTTGTTGGAATTGGGTATGTCTGGTTTAACGAAGAGAAGGACGAGGGGGGACATGATAGCAGCGTTCCAATCTCTCAGGGGCTGCCCCAAAGAAGAGGGAATCAAGCTATTCTCCAAAGCGCCTGAAGGCAGGACAAGAAGCAATGGGTGGAAACTAATCAAGGAGAGAAGCAACCTAGAACTAAGGAGAAACCTCCTGACAGTTAGAACAATTAACCAGTGGAACAACCTGCCTCCAGAAGCGGTGAATGCTCCAACACTGGAAGTTTTTAAGAAGAGACTGGACAGCCATTTGTCTGAAATGGTGTAGGGTTCCTGCCTGAGCAGGGGGTTGGACTAGATGACCTCCAAGATCCCTTCCAACTTTTTTATTATTATTATTATTATTATTATTATTATTATTATTATTATTATTATTATTATTATTATTATTATTATTATTATTATTATTATTATTATTATTATTATTATTATTATGGCATCATTTAGCCTAGCTTTGCCTCTCGTGCACTGTTTTTCAAACCTGGCAATTTTAAGAAATGAGGATTTCCTCAGCCAGACTGGGGAATTCTGGGGGTTGAAATACACACGTCTTAATAGGAATTCTGGGAGCTGAAGTCCACACCTCTTAAAGGGAATTCTGAGAGGGAAAGTCCACAGGTTTTAAAAGTTGCCAAGTTTGAAAAAGACAGCTCCAGTGGATGCCTCCCAAATGTACTGGACTACATGTCCCATCTTCCTCCATCAGCAGCTGAACATTATGATTCCACAAGAAAAGCCCAGTGGGCATCAGTTCTTTCATTTGGATCCGTAAAAAGAATCGAGGAGGAAAAACAGTTTGCAATATTTTTATTATTATTATTATTATTATTATTATTATTATTATTGCTTGTACTTTAGAATTTATACCTTCAGCTTCAAGGCATTTGTTCCTTTCTTAATACGCGATAAACCCGAAGCCTGGAAACTTTTTCTTGGCTCTTGCTTGCAAAGTAAGCAAATGTCAAGATTACAGTAGCCTTAATGTTTATTTTACAACTTAACCCCATCAGGCAGAATTAATGAGTCATCAATTGCATGGTTTATAATGCACAAGGGTGCTTTTGATAAAATGTCAGCTCCCTGCCCTGATAAGACAAATGTTCAAATATTCACCCTGTGGGAAAACAGGAAGAGGACAGCGAAATGCACAAGTGAAAATCCTTCAGACTTTTATTCCTCTGCCGGGGGGGGGGGGGTCTCCAACTTTAAGTCTTGTGGACTTCAATTCCCAGAATCCCCCAGCCAGCATGGCCAATTACAAATTTCTAATTACAAATTACAAACTGTTTTTCTCTCCAATTCTTCTTACATGCTCAAATTCAGACATGATTCCCTTCCGGCTTTCCTTGTGGATGCTCAGCTGCTAATGGGGGAAGATGGGACATGTAGTCCAGTACATTTGGGAGGCATCCACTAGCGCTGTCCTTTTCAAACTTGGCAACTGTAAAACCTGTGGATTTTCCCTCTCAGAATTCCCTTTAAGATGTG